ATCTTGGTGCTTGTATCTTTGGTATCATATATATCTTTACTATTGAATTTAACACTTGATCTTGGATAAGATCATGGTGTATGTAGTGGTCATGTTGGTTTGTGTTGCTGAATTTTAAAAATTGGGATGGTATGGAACATTGCATCAGATTTTCTGCACTATTTGCATCAGATTTTTTGCACTCTTTAAATGTCTATATCCTTCATGTTTGTGCTCATGTTGGTTTGTGTTGCTGAATTGTAAAAATTGGGATGATATAGAACACTGCATCAGATTTTATGCACTATTTGCATCAGATTTTCTGCACTATTTGAATTATTTTTTGCACTATTTGCATCAGATTTTCTACACTATTTGAATGTTTATATGCTTCATGTTTATGCACTCATTCACATCATGATCTATTTATATGTTTTATGCTCCAAACATCAAAATGCCAGAAGTTGATTTGCTATTGTATTTGTTGAAATATGCAATTGATTTGCAATATTTTGTGTATGTCCAATAGCTTTCATCCATTACCTGATAGTTGGTTCAAACAATTTTATTTGGTTTAAGAATGACATATTCAAGCACAGTAACAAGTAACGTAGAGATGAGATATCGCAATAGCACTTGCCCCATTTGTAGCAACAGAGTGATTATCAAAGTTTTTGAATCTGAAAAAAAATCCTGGGAAACTATCTGCAGATGTTCAGATGATTCTAGTCATTTTTTTAAGTAGATGACTCCTATTACTCTCCCCTCTTTGAAAATTACAAATGTGAGGATGGTTGTACGACGAATTGAAGACAATGTACGATGAATTGAATGATTTTGTAATGTAGTTCAACGTGTTGAGGCTAAAGAAGGTTCAATGAAGTCAAATATGTTTGTAGTCACTTTAGTAGTGGTGATACTTATACTTGTGATTGTAGTGAAGTAGAGCTATAAGAGCAATGATGTAGTGATGAAACTTGTGTTATAAAATAACTTGTGCATTTAATTTGAATAAAATCGTGGGTTTTCTATATTGTTGTGACTTGGAATATCATATTCATAAAAAAATATCACATTCATTAAAAAATATCACATTTATTAAAAAAAAAATCAGATTCATTAAAAATACAACAAACATCCTTACAATTGCTAGTAGTTTCATTAAAAATAAATAGTTTTCAACAAAATGATAAATTGAGTAGTCTCCATTTGCATCCTTCTAACTACTGATCCTCCAAACATCCTTACAAGTTGTATCCCCCATTCATGAAAAATGATTCAACATCATTTAAAGAATGCACATGTGTTCTCTCAGTCAGAGTACCCTACATTAATGAGAAAGGGTCAGACAAAGAAATTTGATAAATATGTGAAACAATAAGGTAACATACAATAACACTTTGTACACTATTTGAAGCTTGAGAAGACATCGAATGACCATATGTTGATATACACGGGTGATTGAAACCTTGTACCTGGAATAAAAAAATACTTATAATTATGTTTATAAAAATATAAAGTGAATTAAAAAAATCTACAATTATATTTATATGATACCGTAGACATGTGTGATAGTTGAGAATTTTTTTTTGTTTTCTCTTTGTTGCTTTCTCATACCAAGATTTTAGTCGACCCCCAACTCTTGTAACCACCTTCTTTTTTAAATTTTTAACTTGGAGAAGGTTTGAGTCAACATTTTCTATTCCACTTGAGTCAACATTTTCACGGATTGAATTATCGCCACCATTAACAATTGATGCATACATACGATTCACTTGTTTAAACAATTCCTCAACACCATGTGACACTAAATGATATGCAGGTTGAAGACCAGAGCATCGAGCAACTAGTTGTACCATTCTAAGACAAAGCTGCTTGTAATGTGACGCCACCATTAACTTGAAATTCTCTTCATTTGACATTAAAATGGGGGCTGTCCTACAACTATTTCTTGCATCTCGTCTCCATCTCTTATATATGTATTGCTCGAGAATTTGCTTAATATTCATCATGTCTAAGACTTTAAGTGCACGACAACATAATATTTATCATGTCTAGGTAATTTTTGCCTAACTAGGTATTTTTAGTTTGACTCCTTATACCGTTTATCATTCACAACTATTTCACAATATACAAAGAACTGGACAATGTCATGGTCTGGCTTTAAGTACTTCCATAAGGCTGTATTCAAGCTCTCACTCAGTTGGGTGCTTCTCATTCCTCTAATGAAAATTATCTTCGTATACACATGCCTCTATTTCCCTCGCAATGTCCAAGTAGATTTCATCCACATATTATCATGCAAATTATAATTCGCAAACAACGATTCTCAAGTCTCAAATAATTCATGTTCTTCCTCATATCTATACACACACTCTTTAAATCTAGCAAGAAATTATGAACCATCCTTATATATGTTTCTCAAATGTTTTAAAGCATTTTGACAAAGGTACCAAGTACATAACTCATGGTATATCTCTGACATCACTATAGAAATGACCTTAGCCATCGCTTGATTTTGGTCCGTGAAAATCGTAATAGGATATTTTCTAGACATAGCTTGTAGGAATGCCTCAAACAACCGCTGAAAATGATGCTGTCATTTCATCATACAATAATGCAGCTCCAAATAAGACTGTCTCCCTGACATGATTGAAGCCAGTAAAACAAGCAAATGGTCGATACTCCTTGTTCGTTTTGAAAGTAATGTCAAACGAGACAATATCTCCAAAGTTGACATAATCAATAATCATCACTGGGTCTGTCCAAAAAATATTAGTAATATGTTTATCCGCATTCAATTACACTCCATAATAGAATGACGGATTTTTAGAGTTGCAAATAGAGCTCTTATCCATGAAAGGATTATTAATCCCCTCCAAAACATGTAGACAAAACCCTCTGCAAATTCCAATATAGAACCAATGGGGATGGATTTTAAAGGGAGACATAAAAGTATGTTAAATGTTGGCAGATTTTTTAAAAAATGCTTTCAACAAAAGTTAAAGCCAAGGAAATGATAAGATTTTCCAACACCACCTTGGTTTTATAAGAGTCTTGAAAAAGCAAAACAAACCAGGATAAAAGGCAGTCTACTGCTTCACTGCAAAAGTACACTGAGCTTTTGGCGTGAGCTGTGAAGAAGAAGATGGAGATTGAGCTGTGAAGAATGCGGGAGAACTAGACCCAGTTTGACGAAGAAGAAGCAGGAGAAAGAAAAGGCTTGTCTGCTGAAGTGGATTAGTTGGACCAAATGACATCGTTTTGGTAAGGCTGAATTAAAAACAAAAATTTACAAAAGCCA